AGGTAACGTCGTCGTAATATTATTATTTTGCGTGCGTAGGATGTTTTTTTTTTTTTTTTGTAATAATATTATCGTTGTTGTCGTGTAGTGTAGTTTTTTTTTTTGTATTATACGAAATCCCCGAGTCGGTTAGCGCGGTTTGTTATAATAGTATAATGTACTTAATAAAAAAAATAATGTACAGGCACTTATTACGTATATAGGTAACCGTTTGTGTGCAGGTTTTGTTATTCGTCTCGAATAAATGAGTGTACGACGACGACTCGTTTGCGCGACGAACGTTTGCGATACGGTCTCCGTTGCGGGAGGAGATCGTTTAAAATAGTTTTGCGAAAAATCGTATATAATATTATATATATATATCTATATAGAAAAAAATATGAAAAGGAGAAATGATGCTGTTTGTTTTACTACACCTAATACATAGGCAGAGACCGTTGAGAGAAAGGCTGCGGTTTTTTTTTCGTGCTTTCGTATAATATTATTTACAAGAGTGTCAAGGATTTCGCGCCCGTCGAACGTAGTCACACGTACCTATACACAAAGATAACTATTGGTTCACGTTTATAACATCATACATTACATACGTATCTTGTTACGATGTTTATATTGTTGCGGAGGTGGATTTTTAAGGGGGTTTCCTCAACCCCCCCCCCGCGTCCACCACGAAACATGTATACAACGGTTTACGTATTGATACAAGCGTAACGATAGTATGAGCACTCAGGTGTTTTCGGAAACGGCTTCAAAACCCATCCTCGAGAAAAAAAAATTTGTGTAATCCTATTATAGAGTCGCCACTGTGTTTTTTGTAATAATAATCTAATACTGTATATATAATATCTGTGTGTGTGTGTATAGGTGTGTATTAAGAGTACTTAACTCAGTTTGTAAAATTTTAATATTATTATTATATTTCTCTCTCTCCCTCTCTCTCACTGGTCCATATTACCTATACCTGTGTATATTACAATAATATAATACGTGTGTTGTATACTGAATGTCGAGCACTTTTATCGTTTTTGTTTTTTTTTTTTTTATCCGTTTTCGATGTAAATAACAACATTATAATAACCCTTAATATTATGACGTTTAGCGAGAAGTTATTATTATTATTATTATTATTATTATTATTATTAATTATTATGAAAGCTGCACGATCGCGTCGTGTATGTGTAATAGGATAATATACCTACGTACCTATTTCTCGCGTTTAATTGAAAATTGAAAATTAAATACTAGATAATATTTTAATGTAGTGATGCCGGCGGCCGAGGGTCGGTTAGAAAAAAAAAAAAAAAAAAAAAAATCTCGTAAAAATTGTAATTGTTTTTCTTTTCTAAATTACATCTTAAATCGCAAACGACACGAGGTGGGAAAAACTCCAAAAAATGAATAATACACACTAGTAATAATAATAATTAGCTAATCATTATTATTATACGTTTTATGTCTGTAGAAACTGTACAAACACTTCCTATACTCACATTAAACTCATCGTCACGTTTCGGTATCGTTATAAATACACCCCATACATATTGTATTGTATACATTATATTTATATATATCAATTTGTATGTACCTATAAAAATATATACATATACATAATAGACAATATAAAGACTCTTCAGAAAAAAAAAAAAAAAAAAAATAAATGTTTTTTTTTATTCTAAATATATATATATATATATACATTCAGTACATAATACACGAACTCGCGAGTGTATGTAGGCGTAAATGTGAATGTTATGAAAACAAATCACGTAGTTGTTAATATTGTTATCGACGGATAAATAGACGAATCGTTATAGATATATAGACAGACGGACGAATAAGTAATGTAATAAATTAATATAATATATATGTGTGAATATATAAGATAAATAGATAAATATAAATATTTAGATAAATAATTATAATACAGTATATAATATATTATAATTGTTATACGTATGATAATGTTATAACAGTGCACACATTATAGATAGTTTGAAAAATTAATATTATAGCATAATATTATTATTACGGATGGATAGGATTTTGTTTTGTGTTTTTGATATGGCCGCCGCCGTCGCTTATACATAAATAATTTTAATTATAATTAAATAATATTATAATAATTTGTGTTACGTGTTCTCTTATTATATATACATACGTATATATATATATATATATATATGATATGTGTTGTGTAAATTATAATATTATTATTCATTTTAATACAGCCGTCGCCGTCGTGTACATTTTATTATAATTTTTAATATTATTATTATTATTTTCTTTTTTTCTAATGTTACATGTAACACAATAATAATATGATGATTTTTAATGTAAAAATTATCGATTGAAAGAAGAAAAAAAAAACACGCGTATAAATCTTACGGTTGAGTAGATAGGCGATACGCACGTTACACAAAAAAGTTGTATAATTTTTTATAACATAATAAATAGTAACTTCTAAGTCTCGCGTCCGACGGCCACGGCTGGGTTACATTATTATTATTATATAATATTATAAACTTACTTTTATTATTTATATTAATATATGATAATTTTATTAATTATTCTTATTATTATTATTATTATAATTATTAACGTATACGTGTTAAATATATAATATTATTAATAATACGCGTGAATATATAATTATATCTTATAATATATAGTTTTAAATGTTTTTAAATGTTTTAAATGTTTTAATATTATATCTAATATAATAAGTAATAAATGTTTTTTTTTTTTTTTTTTGTTAATATTATTATTATTAAATAAAAAAAAAAAAAATGAAATACGAATAGGAATTATTAAGACGTAAAAAAAAAAATTAAATAAAAAATTGATGTGGGGTAATTAATTATTATTAATTAAAATGAGAAATTATATATAATATTTAATCGATATAATATATTAAGAAAAGACGCGGAACGAACGAACGAATGAATGAAAAAAAAAAAAATTAACCGTTTTAAAATGCTATATTTCTTTTTTTCTTTTGATTATATTATATTATTAAAACAAATACAAAAATAGTGTATAAATATATAATGTATATACAATATATACATTATATATAGCGATAGATTTTACGATTAACAATTAAAAAAAAAAAATAAAAAAAATAAAAAAAAATACCGACATAAATATATTACTGTTTTAAAAAAAAAAAAAAAAAAAAAGATAATATCAATGTTAACAATATTATTATTATACTTTGCGCCCTCTCCCCTCCACATTTAATAATATCTGTAATTCTGATAATTCTATATTACTTATATACATACTATTATTACGTGGACTTTTTTTTATTATTTTCTCGTCGTTTTTTGTTTGGTTTTTTTTTTTTTTTGTTTCTTGAACAACTAGGTATTTTAATAATATATACTTACATAATATACCATACAATAATAATATTAAACTCATAATGATACATATAGAGACTACACGAAAAACAAAACAGAATTCTAAGTAAAAATACTAACTTTGCAAAAAAAAAAAAAAAAAGAATTAATACAAATCAGCAGTCGAGTGGCACACACACACACACACGCGCGCACACAAATACACAATAATACTATACTGTCGTATCGTTTTTTCCTCCGTTTTTATTTTTAAATTTTATTATAACGTATGCAATATTACGTTTGTTCTCGTCTCGTAAAAGGCAAAAAAAAAAAAAAAAAAAAAAAAAAAAACAAAAAAATAAATAGTAAATTAAAATAATAATACATCTCATGTAAGTCGTCACCTTACTTATATACTTACTTATCCTTGTCCTCTTCCGGAATGCGTACAAAGTGCATACATTTATTAATGTATTTTATTTATAATATATGTACTCATATATATATATATATACGAGTATATTATAATGTATTCTTTCGTGTTTTAGTTACTTAATATTATTATATTTTTTTTTTCGTTTGATTTATTTTTGTTTTCCACTACTATGCTAGAAAAGGTGCTCCGTGTTATTATTATTATTATTGTTATTAATTAATTATTATTATTATTATTATTATAATTATTATTATTATTATTATTATCGCTTATTATTATTATTGTTTAACGAGAGATAATATTATAAAACAAAAAACAGAAATATATAAATATACGTATGTATTCGTATAAATATGTAATATATTTATATAGATATATACGCATGTAGATTATATGGTATATAATATTTTGTGTTTTTTTTTTTCTATTAAAATCCATCACACATATATTTATCCTAATCTTGATCTAACCCGCTATTCAACATATTAAGAAAATATACTCTAATTTATTTTTCTTATTTAATCAAATTATGGTGCTCATGTATACCTAATAGGACTTACGATTTCACGTGTACTTAAGTACACGAATACACGTGTAATTATGAAACCCATGTATTGATCCGTGTATTTAATATTACACATGTATTTATTAATAATATCTGCAATTTTGACATTGAGTGTAGCGCGATCACGTCTAGTGACGTAGATTATTGATTATTTTAGTTTAAAATTTTTGCAAATGTGAATATTACTGTGGTAATCTATTAAAATATTTCAACGGAGCTTCCAAGAGTTTTTTTTTTTGGAGGGGGTAATAGGGGAGTTGGTTGGAGAACATTTTTCTTTCATTTTTATGATAACATAATGTAATACAGGTAATGATTATTATTAATATTATACAAATGTTCAAAATGTTTTTATTGTCATTTACCTTACCAAAAAGTTCCTGATTAACCTAAACTTAGACTTTCCTCCCCACATTCTCGAGAAAAACTTTTACTAAGCATATCCTGCAGTTTTTCAGTTGCAATTTGTTGTAAAAAGTCATGTAAAACGTTGCATTCCTCTACTAAACAAGATTTTGTCAACAAAATAGAAGGTAAAATCTTCTTAAACTCCTCCCTCAAAAAAGCTCTTCTCTTAGATTTATTACAATATCACCAAATACGAGGTATGGCTATTAAATAACGAGACTGGTTACGAAAAAGTTTTTTATTATAAAAGTTATTCTACATTCAAATGCTCCCCTTCAATATACTCCCTTCCCCTCACTACACACCGTTTCATTCGTTTCTTCCATTGCTCGAGGCAGTGCTGGAAGTCTGTTTTCGTAAGACCATTCAGGAGTTCCGCCGATTTTTGTTTTACCTCTTCCATCGACTCAAACCGGATTCCTTTTAAGGCAGACTTTATCTTCGGAAACAAGTAAAAGTCGCAGGGTGCCAATTCGGGTGAGTAAGACGGGTGTTCGAGTACTGGAGTGCCTTAAGCGGCCAAATAACGCTTCACGCTTTATCCTGGTGCAAGATCCACGACTTGTTTTTCCACAATATCGACCGTTTCTTACGAACTCATTNCAGTCATCACGATGCCGTTGATATCGAAGAAAACGATCAGCATGGTTTTGAATTTGGATTACGACTGAATTGGATTCCGGTGCACTCTCGACCTTCAGAAAATAATTTATGCCATTCAAAAACACCCGCCCGAGATAGAAAATCCTCACTATAGGTCTCTTTTAACAACTTATAGCACTCAGTTGGAGTTTTTTTTAGTTTAATGAAAAAATTTTACGTTTATCCGTTGCTCATGTTTTTCGTCACACATGGTTTTCGGCACGAGAAAAAAACACGTTCGTTTCAAACCACTACTGCACAAATACTATAATAGTGACGAAAACGCGTTTTGGTACGTGTATAGATAAGATATCTAGATACCCAACGCATTACTCGTTTTTTTCACTACCCATCTAAGGCACCCTCTAGGCGAGCAGTCTCGTTGTTTAATAGCCACACCTCGTAAACGTACCTTGTTGACTTCAAATTATGAACTAATTTTAAATGTCGACCTAATGATTCTGTAGTCCCACCAGTACATACAAATTCGTTGATATCATCTTTATGACACATATTAAAATATCCTTTGTCTCCAATACGTTTGGCATACTGCCATACTCAACTTTTTGACATTTTAGAACTAGAAAGACGTTGAGCGTAAGAGACTTTGTAAAATAATCCAAAGAGTTTCATTAAATTGACTAATCAAACATTATTTTGATGATAGGTGATATGCATATTAGTATACAAATATCTTAATTCGTGGTGATAAGCAATTTGCTTTTACCACAAACTAAAATTATTATCAACGTGCCACTAATATAATATTAAATTATTTTTTGATTATTTACCATATTTAGCCTTTTGTTTATTTGTTATGTTTAACAAATAATATTATTAAGTACATAGTTAACAAATCCCTAATAAAATTGTTCACGTCTTTTCTAATTTGGGATTTAACAGAATATGAATATCAATTCTTCAAGAGGTAGTTAAAATGGATTTTGTAAATCTCTCAAAATCCGTCTTTCAATACGATGTTCTTGTAGTTGAACTCTTTGTACTAACTGCAAAATATGCATAATATATATAATAATATGTATTTTTATAATTTTAAATTTTCAATCTCAATTTGATGTTTTTCAGTCATAATTTCTTGTTTCATAATCATGCTTTGCTTTCATTAAATTAATTTTTAACTTGTGCTGTTCAATGAATGCTTTTTGTTGTTCCTAACTTAAGGATGCATAAGTTTATGCCCAATTGGTAATTTTGTCTTGTATTCCTTTTGTTTTTTAGAAACATTCCCATCTAAAACATAATTTCATAACAAATATTCAATATTGTAAATTGTTTCTGTTAATTCATAATTATTACTCATTATTTTCTTATTATTGTGATAAAAATATATATGTTTATAGTTTCACATTTGAATAGTATATATATATATATATTAATTATATTTACTGTAGAAAAAGAATTAAGTATAATGGAATAACATATTTTTATTGGATGTATACACAAATATGAATGTTGACAAAAGAAAAATGTTTGTAGATAGGTAGGTATCAAACATCATACCACAGTTCTACCACTAACGCGTTATTCAATGCGCCACAGTGAAATTGAATAATACAATTAGTAGGTATTTAAACGAAAGCATTTAAGGATAAATTAACGAAAATATATACCAGATATTATAGGACTGTCTGTTAATATTGATCTTGATTTTAGGTCTACTGGAGTGTAGTTCGTCCAGTTTCTTTTTAGAGTAGAGGTTGATAGTATATCATAGATAAACTTGTTTTCAACTTTTTCTGTTCCAAAATTAAAAAAATGATTAAATTAAATTAGAAATAACTTATTGATGTTATAACTAATTATCATTAATTAATTATAATACTTACTATTTGTAGTATTTGTAGCATTGTCAGTATTGTCATAGTCATTAGGCAAATCTTCAAAGTCGGTTATTGTAATAATATCCTCATCTTCAATAATGTTTCCAATATTTTGTTGAGTCATTGGTTTATTTTTCTAGAGATCACAATCATATAGTGATATCTCTCCTGTCATTTTAGTCTGCAATAACTCTACGATTGTTGTAGCTATAGCTGTTTGTGGAAATTATTTTGCTGGTCCTCTCCCAGTTCCTTGATAATATGATTTTTCGTCAGCATACGTTTTCTTAACATTGCGTTTTATATTTTCTTATTTGTTTTTCAATATAGAAAAAGTACGGTGGTTTTCACTAGATTGACAGTTAAATTCATTTTCAATTTTTAGAGAGGCATCTTTTTTCATTCTAATCAAAATTTCATCAATTGATATTAGTTTAATATTAGAAAATTGTGTTTGGTTTTGTATTCACTTTGCATTAACTGTGTCGGTTTTTTGACACACCATGACGTCTTTGTATTTTTTTACTAACGTTATTAATAGGTCAGATTCACCTGCCGTAAAATTAGTAGTACGCTTCATCTTTTTTAATTTTAATTCTTCCATAATGAGCAAAGTAATAATTAAAATGTAACCTAATAATTAATAATAATTAATTGTATTAAAATGCAGATTTTTTTTTTTCTTAAAAACTAATAAATAATTTTAACACTCACAAACAATAAGTAAAAGTTTGCTACATTTTAATAAGTAAAATATTCAAAAAATATATATTTATTATTTGTATCTATTATAAATTATTATTTTTAATCATATATTCATTTACCTTAGAGTTACAGCTAAGGTTTACGCAGGTTCGATGCATCTCTCATAAACGTATTCTGACGTTGCAATGTATTTTGCAGGCGGTCGTGTAATTCGTCAAAAGATTTCATTGGCATTCGAAAATATATGAAAAACTTATCTCCGTGTTCTCGAAGGTCCTTAAACACGGTATAAAAGTCACCCATGCCTTTCCTGTTAGAAATATATGGGTGAATCCAATAAATTCTTTCTCGTATCTAACACGACGCTGACGACGTCTATTTAAAAATATTAGAGCTATTTTTTTATTTTTATCCATTACCACAATCGTTTATAACTATACTCCGTGCCACGAGAGACTGCACCTTCGTCGCGCATCATCAATGACCTGTTTTCTTATCTTGGGTCTTTTTCCCTACCAGACAATCGTTATTATCGTTTTGATGATTTTATTAACTGTGGCGATTGTGTTTACATAGTGATTTGTGTTGAAAGAAAAAGAAGTAGGACTCTCAATGCCTTTTCACTTATCACCTCATATTCTCTTTGAACTTTCATCCAAAACGTATCTAGTGATGAATTGTTTTTTAAGTTTTTCAACGTGACGCCTTAGGAAAGATCTGCCAACATGTCCTCTTCATTCTTATATAGAGTCTTTGTTGAGCTATTGGAACTGAATGGATCCAAAATCCACAATAAACCATTTCTTTGGTCTTGATTTGATTTAAACAACTTATTCAAGTGATTACCAATAATCAGTTTAAGTTGTAAAATTGTGATCTCCATTATTCTCGTTCACCTCACTTATGAACTCCATTAATGTACTAAACATTTCAAAACAGTTGTTTTGAATTCTTGTGATCCACAGCTTAATTATTTTCTTTTGCCCTTCTATTTTACTATAACTATGAAACACGATTTTCTGTTGTGTTCCTTGAAGAGATAAACTTAGCTCATTCAAAAGTTGAAATATGTCTGCAAGATAACATAATTTCATTATTCAATCTATGAACTTTTGAAGTACGGAACAAGGTCACAGTTTTTGTTTGATAAAAATATTATTATTTCTTCTCTTAGTTCACACAGTCTCTTTAATATCCGACCTCTTGAAAGCCAGCTAACTTTCGCATGCAGTAATAGCGTTCTATATGTGAATACTATTTCATCACACAACATTGTACACAGTCGTTAATTAAGAGTGCTGTACTTAATAAAATTTACCGATTTGACAGCTATTGTTAAAACTTGATAAAAATCGGCACTCATTCTTTTATTTGCTAATATTTCTCGGTGTATCATCGTGTGCCTTGTATATTTGGAGCTACTTGTTTCATTTTTGCGATTAATCCTGCATGTCTACCAGTCATATTAGCCGCACCATCAGTACAAATTGACTTATTGACTTACAGTATAACATCTCTAAATCTGTACTTAAGGAATAATCAGACAATGCAGAAAAAATTTCAACGTCAGTTGAATGTTTCTTCAGTTCCAAGCAGTTCAGGAATTTTTCTTTAATTTCTTTTTCGTCCCAGTCCACATACCTAATATAGATAAGTAGCAGTGTTTTATTAGTATTATCAGTCGACTCATCTAATTGAAGAGCTTAGATATTTGACCTTTTTATTTTTCTTAAAAGTTATTGGTGCATGTCATCACTCGTCATAATTATGCGATTTGCAACGGTATCATTGGAAAGATGTATTGTTTTTATTTTTCTAGCGGCTTTATCTTCCAAAAGTGTAAGGCTGGCATCGACCATACAAGGCATAATTAAATTTTCTCTTATTGTAAAATTTTTTTTTGATTTTGCAATGTGAAGTGAGATCAAAATTGACGCTTTTAAGAGCTAACTCATGTTCAGTTCCCTTATTTCGAATTAGTCTCTTCTGAGATTTCAATTCGCTTTCTATTCTTTTAAAAAAATCAAATTAACTTACTCTTATACTGCTGGTGTTTTGTTTCCAAATGTCTTGTAAGTTTTGCTGGAGCCATAGAACTATTAGTTAAAATTTCCGAGCAAATAACGCATTGAGGGCAATCATCTTCATACATAAATCCGAACGCTGGATATGAGGGATCATGTTTACAAATTTTCAGTTTTTCCTTTTTGTTTCCTTTTTAATCCTGACCATGAGTGATGCATTTTTATTCTTTTAATGGTTCAAGATACTCTTTGATGTTCTCCTAATGGCGATGAATGAAATTCCCCTATAATACTTTGCTTCTCCTCATCCGAAAAGGAATTCGAGTTAAAAATGACTACTTTAGTTTCAAATTTAGTGTGTTGTCCTTTTCCTCATGGAAGCAAGCCTTTCGTATAGTCGACGCTGCAAATAGTTTTCCTTTTAAAAATATTTCGAACAAATTATAACTTGCAAAATAATTATCGAAGAATAAGAAGTACTCATTTTCTTCGACATGTACAGTTAGTTTTAGAACAACTGAAGCGCCTATACCAAATTTATTTTTAAATTTAGGAAACAATTCTGTTTCACTACCTTGGTAGATAACAACAATATATATTTCACTGGCGCCACATAACATGAACATTTTAATACCCTAAAGATTTATTTTTCCTTGCTATATTGTTCACATTTAAATGGCTAGTGAATGGAACAATCTGCTCATCAATTTATAGAGTATGCTATTTTACTAGTTCTCTACATATTTCTAGAACACAGTCAAATATGGACTTTTACGAAACGATCTTTATTACCAGTTGGAATTTACATGTTATCTATAACGTGAAAATTAGACCGAAGAAATATAAACAATTTCTTGACATATTATTGGTAAAAACATTTATTCCGAAAAATGTAGCCCACTACATCGAAAGTCTAGGAAAACACAAACAACCAGTCAGTATATGTAACGCAATAAAAGTTAAAACCTCGTATTTATCGATATTTTTTTCCCATGAAGACAATTTTTGATGAGCATACATGTTTGTATATAATGCCATTGTTTTGAAATCACTGTCCGAAACATAACAATTGAAATAATGTAGTGGTGAAGAAATGTCACCATGCATTGCACTGGATGCCACATTCAAAGCGGTAAGTACATGTTTGACAGTAGTTTTTCAATCAGAACTAATCACTATTTGAACTTTATATGGTTTCAGAATATATATTTTGGTGCTAAAAATTGAAAACAGCTTAGGGTTCTATACAGAAAAGTACAGAATGGTAATTAAATATTANAGCACCCAACAAAAGAACAGCTGTAAATGCAATATAACATGAACTAATTGTATTTGCATTTTGTATTAATTAATTATTTATATCTATACTAACCAAATTTTGAACAATCATTTATTTTGTGCTTAGCAGTATGACACAAAAAACAATCTGTAAAAAAAACCCACAAATTAATACACATTCTGCTTTTTTCAATCAGAACTTTATATGGTTTTAGAATATATATTTTGGTGCTAAAAATTGAAAACAGCTTAGGGTTCTATACAGAAAAGTACAGAATGGTAATTAAATATTAAATGTTTAAAAATTAAATACACTTTACCTGTAATATACTATAGTATACTTACCATAACTCTTTTTTACATTGGGATTTTCTTTGATTTCAGCATTAATGCCCATTCTTAAGAAATCGACATTGAAATGAGACGAGTGCGCCATCTAAAGCAAAATTATATCCAAATTAGTAACAATTGATTTTGATTAAACATTATTATTTTAAAGTTGAGTGGTACCATATATTTCAAATGTAAATTGTANCTACTCGTATTGTATTCATATATGTGTTAAATAAGAATAAAATTAATAACTAAAAAAAAAAAAAAAACATCTTTCTTATTTATTATATATTATATTTATAAATATTTTGTAAAATAAAAACAAAAACTAAATATTATTATATTACATTATATTTTCGGGTCCCTTGAAAGTCCGGGCCACCGGACCCACTGACACCCCTTTGTGGGGGCTATGGTCACAACAGGAATACTTAATATCCTTTAAATCATTTTTAAACTTTTTGAATATAATTATTCTATACTTCATATACTCTTCAAAATGTGTGTCAATTTAAATAAAATATATATTAATATAAATTGTATACATATTTTTGTTTATTTTATTATTAATTATTATTAGTTTACCTGCTCATTGTTATAATATAGATACACAGATATTAAATATAATGTAAGACGTAAAAATACAAATTATGTTTATGACAGCTGAGCTTATATTCACATTCCATTCATTTAAATATTCATAATAATTATGTCAGAAATATTAACAGATATTTTTAGTTATTTTTGTTATAAGTTTATATAAAAATACCATGATATAAAAGGATTATGAAATAATATATCATGACCGATTTTCTTTTATCTATTTGAAAGTATACATAGAATACCTGTAATATTTCAAAACACTATTCATTACAACATAAAATAAAACATTATTTTATTTTTATTTTTGTTATAAAGTAATACAATTATTTAAAATATCTTAATTTTTACCAATAAAAAGCCAAATAGAATCATATTGAATATTCTAAAACATTATTTTGTCATAATATGTTTTAAAATGTAAGTTGATAAAATTAAATTTTTAAATACCATCATCTTGTAAGATTAACAAAAACAAATTAAGAAAACTTAAAAAAAAATTAAATCAGTTTTTCACAAAATAGGTAAAAAAAATAAAAATTATACAAACTTATACTTAAACCTTTATATCCTTTTGAAGTGGTATTGTAAATTAAATACACTACATATTTTCTAAAAACATATAATTTTAATGAGATATTTTGAAATTGCTTATTCTTCAAACACTAGTTTAGTTTTAAAATGTAAGTTGATAAAATTAAATTTTTAAATACCATCATCTTGTAAGATTAACAAAAACAAATTAAGAAAACTTAAAAAAAAATTAAATCAGTGTTTCACAAAATAGGTAAAAAAAATAAAAATTATACAAACTTATACTTAAACCTTTATATCCTTTTGAAGTGGTATTGTAAATTAAATACACCACATATTTTCTAAAACCATATATTTTTAATGAGATATTTTGAAATTGCTTATTCTTCAAATACTATATTCTATTCAGAAAAAATTAATTAATAGTAAGCGGTTGAAGTAGAAGGTAAATCATGATTACCATTTGATGTTGTGTAGAAACATATCGTTTCTTTTTTAACTTCATTTTCTCTTTTAGTTTTAACAAATGTAATTTGTAGTCACCACAATTTAGATTCCAAACTTTTTCAAATTCGGCTAACATATCATCACATTGAAGAAGTCCCGCGGGTACCCACGAAGTATAATCGTCCCCATATCCTTCCCATCTAATCAAGTATTCCACATCTAGATATTTTTCTCTTTTATTTAATATAGTAGTGATCTCATATCCAGGTCGGCCAACTAGATTCATTTGTTTGTACAGTTCACCCGAAACAAATTCTTTATCGGTTTTTTCTTGTATAGGTTCATCATCTTTATTTTCTTCTACTATAATTTTTGCTTTCCTCTTTTTTCCCCTTTTTTTCTTTATTTTTTTGGTTTCAGGAATTTTGGATGGTGGTGCAACATCATCGTCATCTGAACTGAAATAAAATAATCCATATTTAAATTGTAATATACACAAACCAATATTTTTATTTTAATGTAGGTAGATATTATAGATTAATTATAAATATGCAGATGTAAAAAAAAGAAAATATCATTTTTTTTTTTTTTTTGTTAGTTTCGATTGCTTACGAAATGGGAATATGAATAACTTCAACCAATCAATTCAATTATTACTAGTTACTCCGGTAAGCTTTTTAACAGCCTTCAATTTCAGTAATCACATTAGAATTGATTTAGTTAGTAACTGGTAAGAAAATCTTAAAATTAAAATCTATAATTAGTAATATTAATAGGTATCAAATTTGAAATATAAGTAATGAAACTTGGATAATTATTAACATAAATACATAATCTAAACAAGTTAAATAAATAAAAACATGATAATAATCGAATGCACTTTTCGACAATCATGTTGTAAGAATCGCTGTCATTATTAGTTTGATTAAGACTTCGTCATTTAGGTTATTTATACCGTACCATATCGTAACATAATCATTAAGATACATTTATTTGAGCTTATGCATATGTATGTACATACGTAATGAAGAATTATAGGGGTTATAACAAACATCTTCGAATTCTAGAGTATGTCCCACCGACAGAAACATTTCGAATTATCGAGAGAACCGAAATACAAGTATTTTCTGCTAATTATAGAAGTTTTCTTAGGGGACCAAGGGTTTGGTTAGATTTATGGAGTTTTTCGAATTATCGAGCGACTACTGTAATATTTATTAGATTTCGCAGTACGTAGATAGTTATACATCGCACAGACGAGGTAATCCGCATATTAAAGTATCTAGCATTATGTTACGTAGGTATACTTACATTAGATTACATTCCTCGATATCCATGATGCGAAATGTTGTTGGGAGTCGTGCAGGATATACGCTGATGTCCGAAAACAAAACGCACGAGGCAAAACGTACGAAACAATTCTCAAATGTCACAACCATAACCTCGTATACGGTACATCACTCGGTATAAAAGTAAATAGTGATAAGTGATAACTGATAACAAGTACCAACGTCCAATTATTTGTTTTGAGAATTTTATGTACCCTTATCATATCGATATGAGTAATAGAAAACGATCGTCGACATAGGCAGATATGCTTGATCTGAACGACCCGGGAAAAATATACAAGAAATTCGTTGGTACTTAAAACCGATGTTAATTTCCCCTTGAAAATCAAACCGGTGTGAATTTGAGAAATTTTTTGAAGTAACCGATGTTAAAATTAACGACACCGGTTTAATTTTTCTGCTTCATCACATGCATATTATAGTGCAAACTTTTTACAGCGGTTTCATCCCCTCAAAATAATAAACGAACAAATAAATGATAATCACAATAATTTAATTGATAACAATTAACACCTTTTCAAATTAATTTTTTTATGAAGTACTTATTATCGAGAAATGGAACAACACTAATAATTAAAATAATTGATTAGTATTTAATTGACAACAATTAACACCTTTTCAAATTAATTTTTTATGAAGTACTTATTATCGAGAAACGGGAACAACACTAATAATATAAATAATTGATTAATATTTAATTGATAATATTATCATTGTTAATTTTCGACAATGGTAGTAGTTCCTTTTGAAAATCTTTATACTTTAATAAAAACCGTTGATCAACCGATTTATGAAAAATTAGAAGTATTTAATAACTGAGATGAAATCGAAACAGTTATTTTTGATAAAGGTGTAGTTTCTGTTAATGAATGTAAACCAAATAGTATAGTTAATTTTGACGATTGTATTTCAGATAAACAATCAATAATGAAACAATATTTTATAAAAGTTAGACAAAAATATTCCTGGTATTTATTTAACACGGAATTATACTGCACTGGGTTTAAAAATTATAAGAAACAATTTAAATTTTGTAATTATTTTTAAATAATCGGATCATTATATTAAAAAAAAATATGGGAGAACTTTATAAGTGATAACAAATTAAGTTTATTTAATTTACTTTATAAAATGTGTTAGAAAAAACCATTTGGATTCTTATCAATTGGATACAGCAAATAATAATCATCTCTATAATAAATTAGATCATTTTTTATGTGAACACTAAACATTGAACATCAAATGTAAAATTAATGATGATTGATAATGCTAATTTATTAAAAATGTATTGAAGATTTTATTACCATGCAACAAAAAATGATTAGAGATAGAGACTTAGAAACAGAGGATAAAAATGCATTTATTAATAACAAAATAGGGGTTATAGCAGCTTATTATTTACCTGAATTATCAGAAATTTGAGATGTTTCATAATCATGAAACAAATATGCATATGATAGTTAAAAATGAGATTCATATTAACGATATTATTTTAAATAATCGACCTTATAAAAGAACACAAGTATTATGGAGAATATTAATATATAATAAAAATATAGATAAAACATCATATTCTGATGATGGTAATAAAAATTATGACAAAATATTATTCGAAACAGATTCGTTATATCAGAATAATAAAACACAGAAAAGCAAAATCAAGTAAAAAGGATAAATACAT